TTTTATATCCAGGCTTCTTTGCCTGCTCCACGGGGTACCGGACTCTTGCCCAGTTTCATTGGACCCCCACGCAAAGGCTGACTTAGCTATGTGGGGGAAGTTTTTGGCAGATTGGAACGGTATCTCCATGTTTATCCCCCCTCTCTCCACTTGTTCACCCATCATCCATACAAACGCTGCAGCCAACTCTGGTTTCGCAGCCATCTTCGGGAACCACTGGTTCAGGGGTCACTGGCTCGCTGAGACGGATGCCTTGCCAGGATTCAGGGAGACCTCAGCCCTATTCGAAATTTATCCCATCGTGGCGGCCGCACACACCTGGGGTCATCTCTGGTCCGGCAAGGCAGTAAAATGCTATTCTGATAACTCGGCGGCTTGCGAAATCATAAACAAGGGGCGCTCATCGTCCCTTACCATCATGCGGCTGAATCGCAAGCTGACCTGGCTGGCAGCAACTGTCCAGTTTCATTTAGTTTGTTTTCACATCCCGGGCACCCACAACACGGTCGCTGATGCTCTTTCTCACTCTCAATTCCAGGTATTCTTCCAGGCACTCCCTATGGCTCACCACCAGCCATCCAGGACACCACAATTTCACGAACTAATCCTGGATTGAGCACACTAATGCACCACTCTAGGACTCTCACTCACCAAGCACTATCACCCAACACAGCTATCTCATACTGCAGAATTCGGTTTACAAGGCGACTTCTCTACACAAACCATGGTGGCTCTTGCCTCTTTCTGCCATTTACATCTTAAACTTTCTCACAACACCATTAAACTTTACCTCACCGGGGTTCAGCACCATAGCCTCACCAATTTTCCTAACAACACCCCCTTCTTGTCATCATATCCCATTAAAAAGGTCTTGAAAGGTATATTAAAGGTTTCGGTTCCACTCACCACCACAAGACTACCTATAGATGGGCCTATCTTTAGATCACTTCGCAATCTCCTTGACGAATCCCCGTTCAATCCCAACACAAACCTGGTGATCAAATCCACTATTTATCTTGCTTTCTACGGTTTTCTCAGACCCAGAGAGTTCACCGTTGTTTATCAAGGAGATATCACGCACAGCCTAAAAACATCACACCTCACAAAGGTGGAGGATCACTACCTACTTACGATCCCATCAACTAAAACTAATCACTCACAACACCCCACCATAATTCCTCTCTTCCCTACCGATAATGCCTGGTGTCCGGTCAAGGCGCTAGATCACCTACGGTCAACCCATCACGCGCACTTACCAGACTCTCCGCTCTTATTACTACAAGGGCACCCGCTCACCACGGCTAAATTCACCACACGTCAGAACACTACTATCCAAACTGGGTTACAATCCGGCTTCATTTTCCGGGCACTCATTCCGCATAGGAGCCGCTTCATCAGCCTCTAGCACAAACACCCCGGTCCACATCATCAAGAGACTGGGTCGTTGGAAATCTTCCATATATCATACATATATACCACGACCAGAAAAAGAGCTTCGTCAAGCTTTCAGGAACTTGGTTATGTAAAAAAGGCAATAAAGTGTGTATTTTCTCGAACTTCTCTTTTGCCCTCTTTTATTTACAGGCCCACTCGTACGTTGGTTTCGGCACACCACAACCAACTTTGCCCTTTCAGATATTATCCATTACGTATTAAATTCCGAGCACAAGTAGAAAGGCCATTAGGCCTGAATTTGTGGGAGGAGTAAGTCCCCTACTTAAACTACCAGCCCCTACTCACCTCTGCCAGTCCAGTTGATTGTCCCCACCCACCTACACCCTGTTATCATTACATTCTCCTTGGTGGGCCCTCTTTTATTTACATTCCCACTCGTACGTTGGTTTCGGCACACCACAACCAACTTTGCCCTTTCAGATACTATCCATTACGTAATAAATTCCGAGCACAAATATATATATATATATATATATATATATATATATACACCCCTATATACTTGTTAACCCTTAATAGGGAACACATGGGATGGGCTGCAGCATTGTAACCTAGCTGTGTGATACAAAAAGTGAATACAAATACAAAAAGAAAAGTCCTGCGCTCACTCCTGGGCGGCAGCAATGACTACAGTACACATCAGCTAATACATATAGTAAAAACCAAAAAAAAAAAAGTTACCTGTGCTCTCTCCTTAATCCTTATGTATATTTAAACAAATGGAGGTCATTTAGTTACTCCAATGGCCACTGGAGGGAATGCCCGTCTGCCAACGTTAAGGCAGACCCCACTAGACGGGTCCTACACTGACCCTTCACCTTGCTTCCTTGAGCTTCTGGCAAAAATATCTCAAATGAGACAGAAAGGGTATATATATATATATATATATATATATATACACACACACACACACACCTATATACTTGTTTTTCAGTTTTTATACACAGGGCTAAACTGACACAGGGAAGTTAACCAGATTGAGATGATGTGGTCTGGGTCCCTATAGTGTCCCTTCAAATAATCAGGTTAGAACTTTCCAAGATGGGTTCATGTTAGTTATTAGCCTTGTGATCTCAGAGTAACCATCTCAGAGTAGCCATTAAAAATGGCAGCTGAAGTTACAGCAGCACTGTCAGGGCCGGCCTTAGGCCCTTAGGCGCCCTGCGCGAAAAATCTTTGCAGCGCCCCCGCCCCCCCGTCATTCTTTTTATAGTGTATTAAATAATGATTAAAAAACAAAATATTAATTCCTCTTTTCCTGTTGTTACCTAGTTGGGAGAGAGGCATGCTAATCTGAATCCACTGGGTGCAGACCATGCGTAACTGTCTTGCAAGTTCAGGGACTTGCAGTGTCCGGTGGTAATCTGCGGCAGTGCTCTGATTGACCGGAGCTAGGAAGACAGCTACTTATGGTCTGCAGCCAACAGAAGTGTATGCCAGATGTGTCAGACTGCAGAGTCACATGCACACAGTCAGATGCAGACAGTTATACATATACACTGTCAAATACACAGGATCAGGCAGATAAACACACTCACACAGTTACAGACAGACAGTCACACACACAGTTACAGGCAGACAGTCACACACACACACACACAATTACAATCAGACAGTAACACACACATACACACACAGTTACAGGCAGACAATGACAAACACACACAGCTACAGACAGTCACAAACATACAGCCATACATACAGTCTCTCTCTCACACACACACACACACACACAGTTACATGCAGACAGTCACACACTTACACAGAGGCAGACAGTCACACAGGCAAATAGTCAAACACAGAGGCAGACAGCCACACACACGGGTACTCACACACACAGAGGCATACAGCCACACACACGGGTACTCACACACACAGAGGCAGACAGCCACACAGGCAAACAGTCACACACACACAGGTACTCACACACACAGGCAGACAGCCATGCACACACGCACACATAGGCAGACAGCCACACACACAGGTATTCACACACAGAGGCAGACAGCCACACAGGCAAACAGTCACACACACACAGGTACTCACACACACAGGCAGACAGCCACACACATGCACACACGCACACATAGGCAGACAGCCACACACACAGGTATTCACACACACAGAGGCAGACAGCCACACACACATGCAGCCACACACACACTCAGCCACACACAGACACAGGCAGACAGCCGCAGACAGCCACACACACACAGCCAGACAGTCACACACACACACACAGGCAGACAGCAAAACACACACACACACAGCCACACACACAGGCAGACAGCCACACACACAGGCAGGCAGCCACACACACACACTCAGGCAGACAGTCATACACACACAGGTAGACAGCCACACACACAGGTACTCGCACACAAAGGCAGACAGTTGTACATACTCACAAACAGACAGTGCAGCTCCTGGGGTCTGGTTGTTGGGGAAGTAGGGACTCCTTCCTGCTTCCCATGCAGCCGTCATTTTAGCTTCGCCCCGCCCACAAGGTAAGCCCCGTCCCAACCGCAATGATGGCAGGTTTTTTTTCTAATCACGGGTGGTGAATAATGAAATTCTCCACCCGGGCAGCCGGCCATGTGTGAGCTGTGTGGCCGCACAGCTCACACACACCCCTAAGGCCAACCCTGAGCACTGTCAATTCACAATTTATTTTTTTATTTAAATGAATACTGTTTTTGTCCCTCTATTTCCACATTTTACTTCAGTTTTTATTTTAGACAAAAGAGAATACTTTTTCTTATGGCGAGTGTGATTTTTGACAATCTTTGGACTGGGTGGAGCTTAACAAAAACACCTTTTCATTTGCCAAGGTAATTTACCCACAATCCATCAGTCAATAGAATCCCACAGAAGGAAAACAGAAACATTGTGCATACAGATTCCATGAACCATGACCACTTCAGATCACTGAAGTGGTGATGATGCTTGCAGTGACCCTCTAAAGTTGTGAAAGAACCATTTGTATGAGGCCAAGGGGGGCCTGAGGGTGTTTTAAGAAATGTATAAGGTGTTGATTTTCAGTCAGGAGATTGTGAACAGATCTTCCAAGAGTCTTCGTAACCTCCAGACAATCTGCCCTATTTAAGACTACCCCACAACACTTACCCCAGGGGAGTTTAACTCTTCTCCAAATAAATCCTATCTTTGCTGTGGCGACACAAAAACTATTTACTGGGCTAGGAAAAGAGCGGTTACATCTCATCATTAAACACTGTAATTTTATCTGGCAAGGCCTGGGACAGCCTATCCAACAAATGACATTTCCCGAGAGGTTTTCTGCTGGAGTTAAAATTGGTGATTTTCTTTTTATTGCAGTTTTATTTATTATTTTCTTAGAAATATATCCACATTTTTACAGACATAGGTTATCAGCTACGCTAGTTTTAAATAAACAAATATCTACATGTTTTGTTGCAATCAGTTGCTGAATTTTCAGGTTTCAAAAGATAAACATGTTGCATTAGCACTAGTGATGTCCCGAACGGTTCGCCGGCGAATTGTTCCCGGCGAACATCGCTTGCAGCGGCCGTCGTGGTCATGGTGCTGTGATTCCCTTTGGCCCTAGAATAATGCACAGTGTTCCGAGGCCACGTACCCTGAACTCGAAAAGTTCTGAGGACATAGTTGACTGCCTAACACAGGACACCCAATCTTCTACAGCTACCGCTCGGAACCTTGACGCACCATCCTCCTCCAGCTTAGCTTCGGGCACCTCTCAAGTTACCACTCGCCCACCAACAGTAGCACCACAGCAGCTTCACTTGGTATGTCAGAGGAGTTATTTACACATCAGTTGGAAGAAATGAGTGATGCGCAACCATTATTGCCAGAGGATGTAGATAACAGGGATATGTTTCAGTCAGGCAGCATTACACACATGGACGTACGGTGTGATGATGATGATGTTGTACCCGTTGTTGCTTCCTTTGCTGAGTTGTCAGATACAAGTGAAGCGGTTGATGACGACGATGCGTCCGTGGATGTCACGTGGGTGCCACTAGAAGAGAAGAAGAACAGGGGGAAAGTTCAGATGGGGAGACAGAGAGGAGGAGACAAGTTGGAAGCAGGGGGAGGTCGTCGCAAGGAGCTAGTGGCACAGTCAGACAGCATGAATCGGCACCCGGGGTCAGCCAGACAGCACGCCAATCAACGCATGCTGTTGCCACCACCAGAATGCCGTCATTGCAGAGCTCAGCAGTGTGGCATTTTTTTTTTTTTATTTAATTCCAGTTTTATTGGTTTTGTCATCAAATAAGGGGGTACAGAAGAGAAATGAGGGGATGGGGAACAGTAAGTTTGAGGACAATACAATAAGCATGGTACATCAAAGTGCATGGTTTGTTGTTGCATGTGGAAAATAGCTTGTTATAAAGACAGTAAATGGTACATTGCCCCTTTGATGTGTCGTATAACTTTTTGCTGAGGCCCAATCGTCTCCTGCTTTCTCTGGATCTTACTATGATTTGTGCCGCTCGGCCTCAACTTATCGCCGTAAGCGAGCGGTGTGCTCCTGAGTCCCCTCTGGGGTTTTCAGGGGTTCTGGGGCTCCTTGTGGCCTGTGCATTGGTCCTCTCTCCTCAACCTATAAATCTCGGGATTGGGGTTGGGTGTTGTAACTGGATGGTGGCGTGAGGGGAGGGGAAGGTCCATATCTCACCTGTTCCCCATCATGGGGTGACTAGGGGAGGTAATGGGGTGAGAGGGAGGATGGTTCCATTGAGTATTGTGGTGGTTCATCATTGTGGGCTGTGATTAGTGTCTTTTATGTTTGCCCAGTACCGTAACCAGGGCTCCCATGTGCTGGCGTATTTATCATGTCGGCCTAGTGGGGACCAGTATAGGTTTTCCATTTCTCTCGTGGCTTCCAGCCTATCTATCCATTGAGTCACCGTGGGGGTTTCTGTTTTTCTCCAGTGTAAGGGAATAAGGTTATTTGCTTCCCCTAATAACAACCACAGTAGTTGCTGTGTTTTCGGGTTTTGGAAGGTTTGTGGCCAGCCCAGCAGGATTTGGGAGGGCGTCAGTGAGTGTGGAAGCGTTAGGATGGTCTTTATTGTTGCTATTACCTCCGTCCAGTAGTGTCTAATGTGTGGACAGTCCCACCATATGTGTTCTATTGTCCCCACCCCACTGTCGCATCTCCAGCATTTATCGCTAAGTGTTGGCCAGAAGTGGTGTAAAAGATCTGGGGTCCTGTACCATCTTGTGATGCGCTTGTAAAAGGCTTCACGTCTTGAGAGGCTAATGGAGGCTATCATAGGTCTTGTTAGGATGTACTTCCAATCGGCGGGAGTCATGTGGATGTGTAACCCTTTCATCCACCGCTGATGGAAGGGGGGAGTCTCTTGGACTCCTTGGGGGGAGACCAGTAATTTATATATTTGGGAGAGTGTGTGTTTGTGCATTGATTTGGCGGTGCATAGTTGCTCGAATTGGGTGAGAGTTCTCGGGTTCCAGTTTGGTAATACTGTGCTTTGCAGGATGTGGCGTATGTGCCCATATCTTAGCGTTTCAGTGAGTGAGCCCTGGCCCCAGATTTGATATTGGGGGGGTGTCATTTGTCATCATGTCTCCTATACGTGGGTCATTTATCCCCAGTATTTTCCTCAGTGTTGGAGCTCCCCTTCCCCCCAGGATATCAGGATTGTGTGCTAGTGGATAAAGAGGGGAGATTCCTGGAGATAGTCCCCATGTGGTTTTATGGAGTCTCCATTTCTTTAAGACGTGGTGGAGAAGTGGATGCGATGTAATGGCCAATTTTTGCAGGTGGCATGTTTGCCAGGGTAGTGTGGACATGGGAACCGTGGAGAAACTTTGCTCCAGGTCGTACCATGCTTTTTTGTGTTGGGTGTCCGTCCACTCTTTCACTCTAGTGAGGAGGGTCGCTATGTAGTATTTATATACATGAGGTAGACCCATCCCCCCTTCCTTCTTATTCCTTGTGAGTGTGTCATACGCTATTCTTGCTTTTTTATATCCCCATACATATAAAGGCTGATTTCATTGTACGGAAGAAAGTATTGTCTAGGTCTAGTGGCAGAGTTTGAAAGAGATAGAGGATCTTCGGTAGGATCATCATTTTGATGATATTGACTCTCCCAAAAAGGGAGAAGTGGGGCTTGTCCCATTGCTTTAGTTTGGATGTAATGTCCTGTAACAGGGGGATGTAATTCATTTTATAAAGGCCTTTCACCGTGGGCGTCAGTGTGACTCCCAGGTATGAGAGGCCCGATTCTGTCCATTTATAGCTGTAGGCGTCGCTGATTTGAGTTTTGTGTGTCGCGTTCAGCCCTAAGCCCATTATTTCGCATTTGTCTGCATTCATTTTGAAGTTAGAGCAGGCACTAAATTGATCTATCTCTTTCTGCACATGTATGAGGGACTGTTCCGGGTTGGTTATGGTGAGAAGTACATCATCTGCGAAGGCAGATACTTTGATCTCTGTCCCACCCGCTCTAAAACCTGTAATGTTGTCATTGGTTCTGATGGCATTGAGAAAGGGCTCCATAACTAAAACAAAGATTAGGGGTGACAGTGGGCATCCCTGCCTAGTGCCGTTGCCAATGTGAAACGGGGGGGGAATCATGACCATTTACCCTGACCGAGGCTGAGGGACCTCTATACAACATTCGCACCCAGTGTCTGTAATTTGGTCCCATTCCCAATGCCTCCAGTGCGGTGAATAAGAACTCCCAGTCCACCCGGTCAAAAGCTTTTTCCGCATCGACTGACAGGAGTAGTGTGGGGGTCCTGGAGGACAATGCGCCGTGCATGACGTTGAGGAGACGGGTCGTGTTGTCCCGTGCCTCTCTCCCCGGGATAAAGCCCGCCTGATCCGCATGAACCAGGTCCGGAAGGAGTGGTTTAACCCTATTGGCCAGTATTTTTGCAAAGAGCTTTAGATCTAGGTTAATTAAGGATATTGGCCTATAGCTGCCACAGATGCTTGGGTCTTAACCCGGTTTTGGGAGAATAGTGATCAAGGCTTTTAGCATGGGTGGTGGTAGAGCATCTTTGGCCAACAGAGTATTGAGAACATCTAGGTACTTTGGAATCAATATGTGTTGGAAAGTCTGATAATATCTAGCCGTAAGGCCGTCTGGGGTGTGGCATTTTTTTTGTGTGTCTGCCTCTGACAACAGCAATGCCATTTGCAACCTGCGCCAAAAGAAACTGAGTCGTGGGAAGTCCAACACCCACCTAGGTACAACTGCTTTGCGAAGGCACATGATCGCACATCACAAACGCCTATGGGATCAACACATGAGTACAAGCAGCACACAAACTCAAAGCCGCCATCCTCCTCCTGGTCCAGCATCTTCAGCCACGTTAACCACTGCTGTCCTCCTTGCCCCCTCTCAACCATCCGCCCCTCTGTCTCTCGCCTTGAGCAGTTCCTGCTCATCTGCCCACAGTCAGGTGTCTGTCAAGGAAGCCAATAAGAAGCCAATGTCACAAAGTCACCCCCTTGCCCGGCGGCTGACAGCTGGCTTGACTGAACTCTTAGCCCGCCAGCTTTTACCATACAAGCTGGTGGAGTCTGAGGTGTTCAAAAGATTTGTGGCTATTGGGACACCGCAGTGGAAGGTACCCGGACGAAATTTCTTTGCACAAAAGACAATCCCCAACCTGTACTCGATTGTGCAAAAGGAAGTAATGGCATGTCTGGCACACAGTGTTGGGGCAAGGGTCCATCTGACCACTGATACCTGGTCTGCAAAGCATGGTCAGGGCAGGTATATCACCTACACTGCGCATTGGGTAAACCTGCTGATGGCTGCCAAGCATGGAATGCGTGGCTCTGCAGAGGATTTGGTGACACCGCCACGACTTGCAGGCAGGCCTGCTGACACCTCCTCTACTCCTCCTACTCCATCCTCTTCCATAACCTCCTCGGCTGAGTCCTCTTCTGCTGCTGCGTCTTGCTCCACATCAACGGCACCCCCCCAGCTCCCCAGGTACTATTCCACATCCCGGATACGGCAGTGTCACGCCATCTTGGGGTTGACTTGCCTGAAAGCAGAGAGTCACACCGGACCAGCACTCCTGTCCGCCCTGAACGCACAGGTGGATCAGTGGTTGACTACGCACCAACTGGAGATCAGCAAAGTGGTTTGTGACAACGGAAGAAATTTGTTGGTGGCATTGCATTTGGGCCTAGTTGACACATGTGCCGTGCATGGCACATGTGTGTAATCTGATCGTACAATGCTTTGTGCATAAGTACCCAGGCTTACAGGACGTCCTGAAGCAGGCCAGGAAGGTGTGTGGCCATTTCAGGCGTTCCTACACGGCCATGGCGCACTTTTCAGATATCCAGTTGGGAAAAAAAACACGCCAGTGAGGCGCTTGATTTGCGACAGCCCGACACGTTGAAATTCAACACTCCTAATGTTCGACTGCCTGCTCCAACAAGAAAAAGCCGTTAACGAGTATTTGTATGACCGCGGTGCTAGGACAGCCTCTGCGGAGCTGGGAATTTTTTTGCCACGTTACTGGATGCTCATGCGCAATGCCTGTAGGCTCATGCGTCCTTTTGAGGAGGTGACAAACCTAGCCAGTCGCACCGAAGGCACCATCAGCGACATCATACCATTTGTTTTCTTGCTGGAGCGTGCCCTGCGAAGAGTGCTGGATCAGGCCGTAGATGAGCGTGAAGAGGAAGAGGAAAAGTTGTGGTCACCATCACCACCAGAAACAGCCTTATCAGCATCGCTTGCTGGACCTGCGGCAATGCTGTTAGAGGATTGTGAGGAAGAGGAGTCAGAGGAGGAATGTGGCTTTGAGGAGGAGGAGGAAGACCAACCACAACAGGCATCCCAGGGTGCTCGTTGTCACCTATCTGGTACCCGTGGTGTTGTATGTGGCTGGGGGGAAGAACATACCTTCAGTGAGATCACTGAGGACAAGGAACAGGACATGAGTAGCTCGGCATCCAAACCTGTGCAAATGGGGTCTTTCATGCTGTTGTGCCTGTTGAGGGACTCTCGTATAAAAAGGCTGAAGGAGAACGACCTGTACTGGGTGTCCACGCTACTAGACCCCCGGTATAAGCAGAAAGTGCCTGAAATGTTACCGAATTACGGAAAGTCGGAAAGGATGCAGCAGTTCCAAAATCAATTAAAAGGTATGCTTTACACAGCGTATAAGGGTGATGTCACAGCACAACATGAATCTAACAGGGGAAGAGGTGAAAATAATCCTCCTCCTCCCTCGACCACGCCGGCAAGGACACTTTACAGACGTGTTGTTGATGGAGGACATGCGGAGCTTTTTAAGTCCTACGCATCGCCACAGCCATTCGGGGTCCACCCTCAGAGAACGACTCGACCGACAGGTAGCAGACTACCTTGCCTTAACTGCAGATATCGACACTCTGAGGAGCGATGAACCCCTTGACTACTGGGTGTGCAGGCTTGACCTTTGGCCTGAGCTATCCCAATTTGCAATAGAACTTCTGGCCTGCCCCGCTTCAAGTGTCCTGTCAGAAAAGACCTTCAGTGCAGCAGGAGGTATTGTCACTGAGAAGAGAAGTCGCCTAGGTCAAAAAAGTCTAGATTACCTCACCTTTATTAAGATGAATGAGGGATGGATCCCGAAGGGACTGACAGTGGGCGATACATTCGACTAAAAAAGACCTGATGAGGGGGACGTAACAGGGTGTCGCGGCTGCCGGCCAGCCGCGTGATATTTAAATCCCTAGCTCACCCCAGTACCTTGCCCTGTCATGGTTTCCTGAGAGTGCTTTATCATTGTGAATCTGATTTCCTGGTATCCTGATCTTGGCTTTTCCCTGGTTATTCTGAATTCTGGTTTCCCTGACTTGGCTTGTGTAAACGGTATAAGCCACACCTCCTTCAACCTCTGACCTGCAGACCGGTCTCCTCATGCAGCGGCTGCCATCTTGGAATGCTGGAACAATCACTCTGAGTTTCCTGGCTGTGAATCGAGGTTCAGAGGATGCAGACTGGGGTGCAGCAGCCACTGGCAATATAATGCAGACTGACCTCCAGGGCTTTATGGACGCGCTGGGACAGCTGAGTACCGTCGGCGAATGTGACAGGGTGATGGTGTGCACCTTAATCTTACTCTCTTGGACATTTTCAAATGGGTTAACAAACTGGGGTGGAGATAGCAATGTCTGCGGAGTGGTGCAGTGTCACTCTCAGGTATGGACTGGATTGGGAGCAGCATTGTGGTGGCTGTGTTTCCCATGCCAGCTTATTAAAAGGAGAAGAATGACTTGTCCAATCACTACTTGGGGAGTCGCAGACTGCAAGTTAGGCAGAATGTTTTGCTGGCATTAGCAGATGTCTCAAGAAGTTCCACTGAGACCTTTGGCTGTCTCCAGGGGATATACTCCGATCTACCCAGTCTACTTGGGTCTAGCAGCCTTGCGTGTCATACAAAGAAACTACAAATGCCATGGGGTACTGACCCCTGAACTACCAGATAGAATAGACATTCTTTAAATGGATGCTGTGATTAGTCTTTCACGATAATGTTTAAATGAAAAACATAGACCACTAACATTAAAGTTACTGTTCAATTAAAAAGCAACTTCAAGTATTCATTGTGGAAGGCTGCATGTCATCCGAAATGGAGACATACTTGTGAAGCAGTAACTTTGATATGTGCATGAAAGCTGGGATCTAAACAGGATCAGGAGGCCTTTTACATTTGTCACCCAAGATATGCTGATATTCCCTTTGTGCTGTGCATCCAATGTGATTTCTTCTCTAGTCACGTTTTTATAGTCTTTTTGCATCCTACAATTACGTTACCTCTAATACTCTATTTTGTAGTATTATTCCCCAGTGATGCCTCATTTTTGCATTCAAGTTCTAAACTCAATAATTTTCTATTCTCCGTAATGCAGATCCAGAATGAACGCTGACAGAGCACAGTGGGATAGGTTATTTATCCATATGTCCTGTGGTCTATGTCTGCAAAAGAAAAGGTCACTTGTTCTTTTCTGCATTGCTTCATATTTCTGTATTTAACCCCTTAAGGACCAAACTTCTGGAATAAAAGGGAATCATGACATGTCACACATGTCATGTGTCCTCAAGGGGTTAAAGGACCACTAAATCTCAATTAGATGTGCAAGAGGATTGCATGCACACCAGGTTCCCAATGCTACTCTAAGCCCATGCCTCCTCCAAGCCATTGCAGGAGGCAGAGGTAAGTGGCACTGAAGGAGCCTTGGCGCAGAAAAAAAGGTAACTAAAAATATTTATTATTATTTTTGGGGGACCTATATAACTGAAGACAGGGACATTAAAACGTTAGGAATACAGGATTGCATTTCTGACACTTTAGTGTTCCTTTAAGATTTTTCCCCAATTCTTTTACTGACAGTATTGAAATATTTTTTTTTTTCCACATCAGGAAAAAAAACAAAACCTTTTAAAGCTCAACACTGCTAGGAAACTGTGTGCATTTCCGGAGACAGCTGTGGGGTGTGAAAATCTAGCTGCAGGTTCTTACACACTCCTATTATAGTTAGAGATGTTAAGTCCCTAAAATTCAATTTCCTCAGGAAAAAGAAAGCAGCCGGAGAATTGTTCTAAGGAGACTGAGAGGAGGTTGTAACGCCCAGTAGTGAGATCGCCCTTTTCCAGAGGAAAAAGGTGAGGCTGGAATCATGGACTGATTGGAAGTATTAGACATTATATGCTTCCCAGGATAATCATTATTTTGGGCAATGATAACTGTGGACTAGTAACCAGTGAGTCACAGTTTGATCACTCATGGGATCAGAAAATCTTTATCTGAATTTGTTCTTCATTAAAAGCGGGCAGGGGACAGAACCACTGTCTGTTGCCAGATGGTCTTAACAGGCCAAAAATATGTAAAAAGGAGACTTACAGACTTACAGGCAAATATAAATCATAATGAATTGGAACAATTCTTACATGATATGCTAGGGCCCAGTGGTACATATTCCTGTTACTGTCTCACGGTCATATATTTCCAAATAGTCTCTAGCCCAAGCATGTCAAACTCACGGCCCGCTTGCAGCCCACAAGGACATGCTGGTGTTATAGCAGAGTAGGCACCGGCTTTCCCCACATTGCAGGTGCCTACTCTGCTAATACTTACCTGGCCAGGGAGGAGGGCCAGAGAGGGAGCTCAGTGTTCCTGCTCCTCACTGCTCCCTCGCGTGCGCTGTCTGGGTGAAATCGAGCACCAGAATATGACGTCATATTCCAGCACCCGGCATCAGTAAACCGCGCGAGGGAGCAGTGATGAGAAAATTGAAGGACTTTAGGGAGATGCCCCACATCGGCTCCAAAAGGTAGGGTGCAATAAAGAAAAGTATGTGTGTGCAAGAATGTTTAAATGTGTGTATCTGTCAGTCTGTGTTTGTCTGTGTGTGTCTGTCAGTGAGTATGTGTGTGTGTTGGCCAGTGTTGCATTGGCTGCGACTGGACAGTGGAGTACCTGGAGGTGCATGGAGGCACGCAATGCCACGTGACATCAACGTGCTCCACCTCAACAGGGTTTCAAGAAGTAGCGGGAGGAACAGGGTGGAGGGTGCTGTGGTTTAGTAGAGGGGGAGGACTGGGATTTAGTAGAGGGGGTGCTGTGATTTAGTAGAGGGGGATGCTGGGGTTTTTTTATACTGCACTTTTTAAAATAAACCTACTTTTTTATGAAAATTTAAGTTTTGGGTTTTTTTTGCCGCCCACATAAACTTAAACCTTGTTTATGTGGCCCGTGCCAGACTTTGAGTTTGACATGCTTGCTCTAGTCTGTTCTGTATGAGCAGAAGGTCAATATGCATTCAGTCAGGGACTGACCCTTGCTTGTCCTCAAATTTTGCATTCTCCTTTAAATGAGTTGGAAGAGGTCTATAGAAGAAGAGAGTTTTGAAGGGAGGATTATAAAAGTTCCAGAAAAAAAGTCTAATGTTCCAATAATAATTGAATTTAATATATAACTGCTACATATTAAATTAAATTGTTATTGGAACATTAAAGTTTTTGCAAGTGGTGGCTGGTGACGTTTAATGATGGTGGGGCGCTTCCCCCTCCCCACTGGCTTTTTGGGTTTTGACCTGATGAGATGTCATGCCCTCCAGTCACCAATTTTTTAAAAAAAGGATGAAAACTCTAGGTTTGTTTTGCTTTTGTTTTTAAGCGCACACTTATCATTAGCCTTAACAACAATATAATTTTTTTCCCCAAAAAAACAAGGAGTAGGGGGAGCCACTCCCCCGCCACTATGGACCAGCATTTACTGCTAGCTCATCAAAAGTGTATTAACCCCCTCTCCCCATTACCTCAGACACAGTTTAATCTGATTTAAAGGTATAAATATCCCTGTATATCTAATTTTAGGCGGATGGAATGGTTAATAATTCACAAGAATAACTAATTCATGGATCTACTCCAATTTGATTCATATATCATCGGGACCTCGTTACGGAAAATATCCTGGGGTTTTTGATGTTGAGAACTGAGACATGCTTTCCTATTACCTCAGCCTAGGATGGGAATGGACGGTTCAGAGAAGGAGGAAGTTCTTTGTTTTTGGAGAATGATTGCAGTAAAGGATGTAAGCACTTTGCAAAGACGGCTGCAGAGAATGTTAAGACAAATCTATGGAAGAAATGATGGATTCTAAGGTTTTAAACGTTTGCTATGTAGAACAAATATGTTTTTCCAGCTCTAGGTGACACATGAAAATCTCATGATTAGATAATTAGTATACAGTGTAAAATACATTTTACTTCATAATTAACAAAGTTACATCATAACTTGAGTTGTAAGAAGACTTCTGAAATCCGGGGAGATGCTAATGGCAGACAAGGATGATGACCCTACTATTAACCATCTAGCTAGTAAAAAGCTACAAATAGTGTGCCCCATTGGAACAATGGTTGTTTTTCTTTACATTCTCTACTTCACACCACTTGATGGAGTCATATATGCATGGTGTGCATGGAATATGGCTCAAAACCTGGACTTGGGCCCAAACCATTGGAGAGTGAAAACATAGCCCTAGAGAGAAATGTGCCATGGGTTCTCCAGGCTTGTAATGGCGAGTAAATTTAGAACTGTCTAGTAGCAAATGTCTTGAAATTTTAAGCCCAGCATGGAAAAATTAAGGTGGGAAATAACCAAAAAAAAATGAAAATGGCCAGTGGTATATGCATGGCTACATGCTACCTCTCAACAATTTTAAAGAGCCATATCCCGAGAGGCTTGTCAAGGAGCTGTAATTCATGGGTTAAACTTAGAGATTTCACTCTTATTCTTGTTTAACAGTACCATGAACACTCCGTCTGCTCTTGTCATGCACAGCCATAATGCCACCAGTGCCAACAACATGTCCTATAGCAGGCACTCAGTGTTCGGAGTAAGTTTGTTTCATTCCGACAACGTGATATTCTATCACTTTATGTGTGGGTGGATGTCCACAATTTCTAAGATCAAAAAGCAGTTCTTGTGACTCAAGTACTTTCGTTTAACTGGCTTTTCATTATGATTCTCTGAAATCTATTTGTTTAATTTAACATATTTAATTACTTTTAGGATTTGAAGTAGCAAAACCAGTTCAGGTGATTCCTGGTACATAGAGTTTGATGGAATTTAAAGATGGACACCTTTAACCCCTTAAGGACACATGACATGTGTGACATGTCATGATTCCCTTTTATTCCAGAAGTTTGGTCCTTAAGGGGTTATACAGGTGGATGTCTTAAGTGTATGTGTGTCTCCCATCATCATACTACAGGTCCAGCAGTCTGGTGTTATGACTGACACGCTATCCCTCACACTAGTTTTCAGGTACGATATGCATTCATACATGTCCATACCTGAGCTTTCCAATATTGCATTTATGACACTAGCCAATGTGTTTTTTTCCTCTGCCTATTTTCTCTCACCACAGACAGATCATCCCCCTGTCATTGTTTCCATTTGGTATCAGATAGTATGTTATCTGTGTAAATGATCTACTGGTGTATGACCTCGCTTGCATTTGATTATTCTGTCCCCTTTCGTTTTAGACTGTAACTTGTTTTTGTGATTCTGTGTATCAAATTGATATTGGCTCATTCTGGGTAATGCTCTGCCTGTTCCTGGGTTATTTTGCCTATCTAGTCACTGT